CTTAAAGGCAGAAACAAGACGTTAAGTTTTGATCCAATTCATACAAATACTGATGCCCCTGAGTGCTTTTACCATAAAAAAAAAAAAAATAGATATTTCTATCTAACACTAAAATCATGTAATCCCTGACCAATAGCCAACCCTGAATGTTTTTCATCTTTCAAGTCACTTCAAACTGGCTTGTAACTGAGTGACTACAATAAAAGGCATCAGCCAACAAGTTGGTTTTGTTGGGAATACTATTATAACTTAACAAGCAAAGAGGAAAAGTGAAAAAATGAGAGAGAACTTCAGTTTCTAACTCTGTTTTCCAGACAAACAAGACAAAATTTCTCCCAAAAAACCACCACACAGATGTCATGGCTGCAAAGGTATTTTCTTCCTTTACTGTTGACTCAACTCTTCTTGCCTGTTGATTCAAAATCTCATTATTTGGGAGCTGGAATTCCATACACAAAGGCTGTGGTCCACATAGGGATATTCAGATTGGATGAAGCAATTGGTCTGTACCTGTGCTACGGTGACAGAACCCACTTGTGGACACAGCAGGTCACAGTTCTGGGTGTCACTAGCCCTCCAAAACCTTTTGGCATCGGATGAGCTTTAATCATGGAATTCTGGAATGGTTTGGGCTGGAAAGAACCTTAAAGCTCATCTCGTTCCAACCCCCTGCCATGGGCAGGGACACTTTCCACTCTCCCAGGTTGCTCCAAGCCCCATCCAGCCTGGCCTTAGACACTTCCAGGGATCCAGGAGCAGCCACAGCTTCTCTGGGCAACCTGTGCCAGGGCCTCACCACCCTCACTGTAAAAAAATTTAATTCCAATTTATAATAAGAAGCAGAGACACGGTCACAGCACACACAAAGGAAACCTTCGAGTAAGACCTTTGAAATTTTCTACACTGGCAAAACAAACCTTCTAAGCAAAAAAAGAAGAAAAGGTTAACCGGGAGGAACTTGGGACACACCACAAAAAAGATGCGAGTAGACAACATCCCAGTAAAACCACGCGACTTTATTATTATGTTGCAATTATTATCATGCCCTAAATCCTGCGCTGCAGCTCAGCCCTGAGCCCGGGGAGCTGCGATGGGAGCCCAGCAGACCCTTAACTAGCTTATCCTAATTAACAGACTTAGAATCATGAAATGGTTTGGGTGGGAAGGGGCCTTAAAGCCCGTCCCGTGCGCAGGGACACCTTCCCAGACCAGGTCTCTCCAAGCCCCGTCCCGGTCCCCTCCCAGCCCCTCACCCCTGCAGTTGAATCCGGCGGGGTTGTGGTAGTCGAGCGCCGAGAGCTTGCGGCGGAACATGGTCCCGGCGATCCCGGTGATCCCGGTGATCCCGATCCCGGTGGTGCCGGTGCCGGTCCCGCCTCCCCCGCTCAGGCCGCGCCGACGTGACGGGCCCGAGCGAAGGAAGCGCCCGCCCCCGGCCCCGCGCTCCGCCCACCCATTGGCCAGCGCGCTGAGCGGCAGCCGCGACGACCAATCAGAGCGGCGGAAGGGGCTGCCGGGAAGGGAAGAGGCGCTCGCCCGCCTTCAGGGATCCGGCGGGAAGGGGCGGGGCCTGAGAAGGGGCGGGGTCATAAGGGGGCGGGGCCTGAGGCTGGGGTGCCGTGTGTGGTGGGCGGGGCTTGGGAAGGGGCGGGGCCTGTGCCCGCCGCAGTGCGAACTGGGGGCGTGCGCTGGGTTGTACTGGGAGCGCCGGAAGCACTGGGGGTTGTACTGGGAATGCTGGATACCTGTACTGGGAAGCTGTACTAGGAGCGCTGGGAACACTGGGGAGCCGTACTGGGAGTGCTGGGGAGCTGTACTGGGAGCGCTGGGGAGCCGTACTGGGAGTGCTGGGAGCACTGGGGAGCTGTACTGGGAGCACTGGGGAGCTGTACTGGGAGTGCTGGGGTACTGTACTGGGAGTGCTGGGGAGCTGTACTGGGAATGCTGAGTGCCTCTACTGGGAGTGCTGGGGAACTGTACTGGGAGCGCTGGGGAGCTGTACTGGGAGCGCTGGGGAACTGTACTGGGAGCGCTGGGGAACTG